CAATATGCCAATGTTAACAGTAAAGAGAAAAGAATGATCCAACCAGTGCTTAATCTGAGCCGGATCCTGTTCCGGAAAATGTCAGATTTTGGATTTTTGCGTTTCGGTAATTGTTTTTAAGGATCCAGCATTAGATCGTGACAGTGCGTGCGTGCATATGAGAGAGAGCGCAGGTTTATGTATTTGGAGGTTATGTATTGGTCCTCAACATATTTTTGACCGTGACCAGTCAGCTTTCTTAAGTTCAAACTCGCTCTCATTGATTGGTGCTTACTGCTTATTGTTTTGTGAGCAGCAGAACGTTTGGAGAGAGTGTAATAATACCAGAAATACCGGAAATAATATAAAATAAAGTGAAATATTATAATGTATAAACATTATAAATAGTGGTCAACCGATATATAACCAATACCGATATATCAGCCGATATTTGGCATTTTTTTAAATATCGGCATCGGCCGATATGTTTTTCTGTTTGCCCGATGCGTTCGAGGCGGGACTTTTATTTTGACGGCGCGACAGACGTTTATTTTGACGGCGCTGAGAAGGCCAGCGCATGAGCACAGTGCTCACATTCTCCCTCTTGTTCGCTGTGGCGTTAACAGTTCTGTCTAATACGTCAAGTTTGAGTTGCGAATATGTGGTGTGTGTGTGTGTGTGTGTGTGTGTGAGAAAGAGCGCGCTGTTGCTGTTAATAGTGTTCACCGTCTGTTTGATTACATGCCATTAACTAACCGGTTGATTTTTACCATACATTTCTGCCATATGGACATCAACTTGAGATAGTCACCACTGATAAGCTATTACTAAATATAATGTAGAAACTTTAATTTTCTGTAAAGCTGCTTTGCAACGATTTGCATCGTGAAAAGCGCTATACGAATAAACTTGAATTGACTTGAATTGAATGTTGTAGTTACATTTTCAAGTTAAAAATCGTAAAAAATTGAGAATCGGTCAAATGAGATTTTATTTTTTTGCCATATCGCCCAGCCGTAGATGACACGCCGGCATTACTCCTGGTTTCACGCACCTTCCTCTTGGCCGAGTGCTGCAGGAGTTCACTGATCTGGATCTTGTCCTGCTGTAATCTCCTCTTCATCAGTTTGGAGCAGTTGACGTTCACGGCCTCCAGGATGTGACACGCGTTATACTCCACGAACGGTCGGCTGTCGATCAGCAGCACGCGGTCCAAGCCGCCCTCCAGCAGAGCCACCAGACCCTCGGCCTCGATGGGCCGCGCCGCACGCTCACACATACCCACAATCCCTCAGTCCGTCTCTGCGCTAACAGTCTCTGTATCTCAATGACGCTGCCGGCGGGCCCTCAGGAGATCAACGGCCCCATTGTAGCAGCGGATGATGTAAAAACGTGTGAGAAAAAGCCAGAGGAAACTCCAGAGGAAAAACGCACTTACACGCAGCTTATGTGTGTGTGGGGCGCAGTGGCTGATGGGAGTTTCTTTCACACCATCACAGGGGTCCACAGACGGGCGACAGCTGCGTCTCCTCACCGCTGAGCTCCATCATGAAGATCTCCTGCTGAGACACAAAAACAACCTGTGAGCACTCCGGTGTTGGGAAGGTTACTTTGGAAATGTAATAGGTTACAGATTACAAGTTACCCTATCTAAAATGCAGTAGTGTAACTAATTAAATTACTTTATTGAAGTAATGTAACTGATTACATTTGATTCCTTTTCTAAATTTCTAATGTTTTCAACTGTTAATCATTTTCAAACATGTAAACCAGGCAGGATTAACCTTACAGTAATGCTCAACACTGATTACTGTCACTTTCGAAATCCTTTATCACTTGAATTAAGATTATAATAATTTAAAGCACAGCCACCACAAAATCAGACTTACTTTGAGAGCATTCTGAGGTTAAATACGGATTTAAAACCATAACAAGAAATAGTTTAGTAGCTATGATTCTGTTTTTGCAAATCAAATCTTATGATAGGAAGCACTGGCATCTAACAATGGCATGGGAAAAAAACAGTTAATCTTCAAAAATAAAGTATATGCATAAACCATGTGTCCTATTCTGAGTACTAAAATGTTGAAACATTGGTTTCTCATATTTTAGAGCAGTCACTGCAATTTATGAAAGAAATCAATTAAATCTGTATGTGGGTGTGTGTGAAAAAAAAATCAGATGTAACCACTTTGTAATCATTAACATTTTTATAAGTAGCTGTAATTTTACTACACATTTTTTCTCAGTAACTGTAAATTACGTAATTTAGTTACATGTAACTAGTTACTTCCCAACACTGGCGCACTCATGTCCAGTGTTACTTTTAAAAGTAATGCATTACATTATTGTGTTACTCCATGAAAAAAAGTAACTAAACTTGCGTTACTTTTTATGGAAATACTAGTGCATTACGTTACTTTTGCGTTACTTTTTGTCACCTTGGCTGGGCTTGTTTATTTGTTTTTTTAGTAACAAAAAAAACAAAAAGTTATATTTTTGGCAACTGTAAGGGCTCTTTCACACCAAAAGTGAAATTAAAAAGCCTCAACACGGGGACAGGAGAGCTGTCAGACAATAAATGGGAAAACAAAGTAACTTGTGTTACATATTTGAAAAAGTAACTCATATATTTTTTGTAAATTTAAAAGTAATGTGTTACTTTACTAGTTACTTTAAAAAGTAATCTGATTACATAACTCTGTAACACATGCAAACTCTCTAATGCTTTAGGTCTAACCTGGACATTTAACAAATCCAAGAGTAATATGCATATTAATTATGTGAGAGTTTGTGCGTTACGGTGATTTCATCATTAAAACGGCTCATTCAAACAGAATGTGCTGTTTTATAGTGTATATTTTGGTGACAGCAGCTTTGAGTTCACGTGTGTGTGTTAGTGTGAGTGCTAAAACCAAAAAAAGGTCTGCTTTAGTTATGTCATCTAGTCATTGATGTGTACAGAACTACACAGAAACCAGTGAAATTCCCCTGCGTGCCATAAAAACCTGCCAGTCAGTCCTGTATGATGGGAAAATCCCAACAACAATAGCAGCAGCACACGATGTTACAGAAATACGATACAGCGATCCAAAAGGACAGCAGTTGTACCATCAACCACTGATTACGTCAGGATCTGGATGAATTCTGATTGGTGTCATTGGTGATGAATTCAGCTGGAAAAAATTGCTCTCAAAGTGATTACAATGATATCCTTCCTCTGTGCCATTATTGTTATAGTTATCGCCAGTGTTACGCATTACAAGTAACATGAGTTACGTAATCAGATTACTTTTTCCAAGTAACTAGTGAAGTATAGCATTACTTTTAATTTCACAAGAAAATATCTGAGTTACTTTTTCAAATAAGTAACGCAAGTTACTCTGTTTTCCCACTTATTCAATGAGAGTTGAGGGAAATTGGGAGTACGTTATTTTCAGTTTTGGTGTGAATGGCCCTTTACAGTTGCTAAAAATTTGTGGGGTTTTGTTATTAAAAACAAATAAACAAGCCCAGCCCAGGTGACAAAAAGTAACGCAAAAGTAATGTAATGCATTACGTTCCATAAAAAGTAATGCAATTAGTTACTTTTTTATGGAGTAACACAACATTGTAATGCATTACTTTTAAAAAGTAATTTTCCCCAACACTGTTTATTGCTATTATTTTAGCATTAGACCTATTATTAAATCTTTATAGTTATAGTTATCATGGGCCTAAAAAACAATAACTATAACTATTTTTGTATACACACTAGTGGACGATAACAATCTCTTTGAAGACGAATGGATTCTGATTGGCTGAACAATGTTGGAAAAAAAGAAAAATCGCTCTGAAAGTGATTTCAACAATATCGTTCCTTCCTGTCATTATCATTGTAGCTATGGTGTGGACTTCGCTATTCTCTTAAAGTTAGAGTGATTATTTAAACTGTACAGTTATTGTTATGGTCATCGTCTTTAGTGCGAACGGGCAGCTGAACAGTTTTATGTCACGTGTGTCTGGATCAAATCAAAGCTCTGATCCCGACATCAGCGCTTATCTGGAAAATATCACAAACCGGATTACTGATTGTCATTACTATACTGACATGTATGAACTATTGGCAAGACTTTGTAAAGGCTGCATGAATTCAGAATGTAAAGGGAGTCAATCATGATGTCAGGATCATTGTTTTAAACTGTCACAGAAGCATCAGCCGAAAGAGTGAAAGCGAAGTCCAGATGTGAGCGAGACCGAAGCCATGTCGACATGAGAAGATCAGCTTCACACGCGTGTGCGGAGGCGGCAACATGAGAACATGTGCTGTCATCATGAACAGGGTCTGTTCGGGCCTCCGGGAGAAAAGCGTTTCCATCCCCCATCAAATATTGAACAAAACCAGAGTTTCTGCATCTTGTGTTTCCCTCTAATAACATGAAACTGGAGCAACAAGCATTTCCTCATATAAAACACAGATCTGATTACAGACGTCATGGAGTTGTTTCTCACAACGTTTATTTCTGGATCTGTTTTAGGACCGTTCAAGATTCATTTGACGCTGATGAGCTGCACGCAAACACTGAACGTTTATTCATGGGCATTTTATTGTTTTTCTCAGCTTTTAAATTGTTGACAAACGCACTGGCATCACGGTTTTTCGAGTCGCATCACGGTTTCAATTTTCTCTGACCTTGTTTGCGAAAGGCTGAGCTGAATTAAAACGGTTTGCTGTGTGTTTTTCTGACCGAAGGTTAATAGCTCAACCTGCCTGGCAGAGATAACAGTCATGGAGGACTTTGACCCGTCGGTCAGCCATCAGAATACAAACAGATCAAACGAGGCTGAAATCAAACCACAGACGCTTTAAAGGCAACGAGACGTTGTAAATGAAACGTGCAAACTGATCTTTCCAGTCTCTGAGGTGAACATCAGTCCAAAGTCATGCTGAAACCTCTAAAATGATGTTAAAAACAGCTGTTCTAAAATCAAATTTAAGATTATTTAAGATAGCGTATGTTGTGTGATCAATATACTAATAA